CATCTGCTGCTGTTGCTGCTGGCGCTGGTGCTGCTACCACCATTACTGCTGCCACATTGCTGCTACTTCTAGTACTGCTGCTGCTGCTGCGCGTGCTGCTGCCGCTGCGAGAAGCTGCTTCGTTTCCTGGCCTTCCCATGCTGCTGCTACTGGGGCCCTCTAAACCCTAAACCCTAAACCCTTGCTAACGTAAAGTCCAAACCCTACGAGACGCATTGAGGGCTGCTGCGCGGACCAACTCCTGAACCCAAACCCTAAACCCTAAACCCTAACTCTACAGAGCTTCGGAGAGTCGTAGACCCTAGGGCTGAGGTGAAGTATCGAGGGTTTAGCGCTCTTTACATCCTTGAAGAGGGCTAAACCCTAAACCCTAAACCGTAAAGCTCTACGCCTTTCGGAAAGCTTGTAACCTAAACCCTAAACCCTAAACCCTAGAGACATGGAGGCCACAGCCCCTACAGCTTGCAATAGTAGTACCTGTAAACCCTAGCGAAGAAAAGACCATCAAACCTTAAACCCTAAACCCTAAACCCGTAGACCCTAGCGAAGAAAAGGCCCTCAAACCCTAAACCGTAAACCCTAAGCCCGTAAACCCCAGCGAAGAAAGGGGCACCAAACCCTAAACCCTAAACCCTAAACCCTAGCAACAGATCCAAAGCTTCGGCACCCCTGCTTTAGGGAGTGCAAGAAAAGTTCGAGTTAAAAGGCCCTGAAGTTCTGAAGGCGCTCTACATTAATTGTGTATAGACAGGTCTGGTGTTGAGGTGTACACGGAGGCGTTCAGGTGTACAGGCAGCTCGCTGCGGTGCACAGACAGCTGCATGCAGTCTGCAAGAACGCCCTTTGCTGTTCAGGTGTATAGGCAGCTCCCGAGATAGGAATTCATTCAGGTGTACAGACAGCGGCCCCAGCGCTCAGACACAATTGCTAAATAAGAAGGCATTCGGGTGTACAGACACCTCGCGGCGCCCCACACTCCCGCGCCCAGGTGTACAGACACCCGGCTCTTGCGGTGTACAGACACCTCGACTTCTGAGGTGTACAGACACCTCGGCTTCTGCGGTGTACAGACACCCGGCTTTTGAGGTGTACAGACACCTCGGCTTTTGCGGTGTACAGACAGACGCCTCTGTTCCTGGGGTGTACAGACACCTCCGCTATCTGAGGTGTACAGACACCTCGTTTGTTTCAGGTGTGTAGGCCGAGGTGTACAGACACCTCCGCGCTTCAGGTGTACAGACACCTCCAGGTGTACAGACACCTCAAGACGCCGCGACACCCTGCGGTGTGCAGACACCTCAAGATGCCAAGACTCCTTGAGGTGTACAGACACCTCAAGACGCCAAGACTCCTCGAGGTGTACGTACACCTTGAGGTGTACAGCCACCCCGAGATGCCAGGACTCCTTGAAGCGTACAGCCACCCTGAGGTGTACAGACACCCCGAGGTGTACAGAGCCTTCGGGTGTCTGCACAGCTCAGCTGCTGCGGTGTACAGACACCCCGGCGGCTGCGGTGTACAGACACCTCGGCTTCTGAGGTGTACGTACACCTCGACTTCTGAGGTGTACGTACACCTCGCGCCACTCCACAGAAGATACAGCCAACTGGCTGCCACGGCTGGCGCTGCTGTTCACAGCAGCAGCACCAAAAGACAAGATCGCTACACATAGATCCCTGAGGCGATGGCTAGCTAGCTAGCTAGCTAGCTGGCCGGCTAGCTGGCTAGCTAGCTGGCCGGCTAGCTGGCTAGCTAGCTGGCTAGCTAGCTGGCTAGCTAGCTGGCTAGCTAGCTGGCTAGCTAGCTAGCCACGGCCACCAGCCGCACGGGCAGGAAGCTCCACGCTTTCGCCGTCCCCCTACGCAGCTAGCCAGGCAGCTAGCCAGGCAGCTAGCCACCTGGCTAGCTAGCCACCTGGCTAGCTAGCCAAGAGAGCCCGTGGCTAGCTAGCTCTTCAAGCGCTAGCTAGCTAGCTAGCCAGCCAGTCAGCTAGCCACATTGCTAGCCTCCCTGCGACCAACGCCACTCAAGAGCCACTCCGCCGCCTCGCTAGATGGCTAGCCAAGAGCCACTCCGCCGCCTCGCTAGATGGCTAGCTAGCTAGCTGGCTAGCTAGCTAGCTGGCCAGCTAGCTAGCTGGCTAGCTAGCTGGCTAGCTAGCTGGCTAGCTGGCTGGATTGCTAGCTGGCTAGCTGGCTAGCTGTCGGGGGACTGTTCGTTAACCCCAAAGCCAATAAATAAACACATAACAAGTCAGCCAGTGCTACGGGGCACAATACGCTGTTGCTGCTGCCGCTTCTGCTGCTGCAGCAGCAGCTGGCCCCGCTGTTCTTCCCGCCACTGGCATTGCTGCTGCTGCTGCTGCTGCTGCTGCTGCTGCTGCTGCTGCTGTTCGTGTGCTTGTGACAAAGGGAGCACTTGCCGCGCGAGATGTCCCTCAGGGATTGACTCTCCCTCTTTATATCCTCAAACCAGCAGCAGCCCCTGCTGCTGCTGCTGCTGCTGCTGCTGCAGCACTGTAAAGAGTTGCTTAACATCAGAGAGGCCTCTGAGTCAACGACTTCATTGGAGTAGCCCTCACCGCTGCTGCTGCTGCCGCCACCGCTGCCGCCGCCGCCGCCGCCGCCGCCGCTGCTGCTGCTGCTGCTGCTGCTGCTGCTGCTGCTGCTAGAGGAGCCACCAGACGCTGCTGTCGATGCACTTGAGAGTGGTGCGGAAAATGTTTTCCCCCACTTCAGTGTTTTGCAGCTCGCGGTTTAGCTGCCGAGGGTTTGGGTGGCAGAGGTGCATGCAGATGGGCAGCAGCAAACCCCCGCAGACCACGTAGAGGAGGAAGAGGATGAGGCACAGACTCATTGCTGCTGCTGCTGCTGCTGCTGCTGCTGCTGCTGCTGCTGGGCGCAGCGACGGCCCCGGCGGGGCTCCGGGGGACAAGGGGGCTCGGGGGAATCGCCGCGGCTGCTGCTGCGCGGTGGAGAGAAGGGGTAGACAAGGGCCAGTTGCTGCTGCTCCTGCTGCTGCTGCTGCTGCCGCCGCTGCTGCTGCTGCTGCTGCTGCTGTCAGTGTCGCTGCGGCGCCTAGACACCGCAGAAACTGCCAAGAAGAAACTTATAGAGATGGGTGAGACCTGAAGAGGCAGCAGGAGCGGAAACAGGCGGCCAGGGGACTCCCTGTGGCGCTGCTGCTGCTGCTGCGGCTGCAGCAGCAGCTGCGGCTGCTGCTGCTGCTGTTGCGGGGAACTGTCGCTGCTGCCGCCGCGGCGCAGCCTGAAAAGATAATATTGCGTGAATAATAACTGAAAACGAAAAAGAAATAAAGAAAAGGCAGGGTGTGCAGCACTGCAGCAAACTTGGCCGAGCCAGTGAGGAGCTGCTGCTGAAGGCCAGCTAGAGGCTAGGGAGCTGCTGCTGTTTGTTTGTAGGTTAATTCGCAACGCCTTAGAAATAAATAGACAAATGAAGAAGCTGCAAACATAAAATGTGCTCGAGCGCGCGTTGCAGCGGCAGCAGCAGCAGCTGCAGCAGCAGCAGCAGCAGCCGCAGCAGCAGCAGCGGCGACCCCTCTCCCCGCGCCTGCCGACGCCGCGTCCCACCACCCTCCTTTTTTCCTCCTTTTCTCCCTTTCTTTTTGTTTTTGTCTTTTGTTGAGTTGTAATTAAACTCAACACTTTAATAAACAAATAAAATGCATTTGTGGCTTTGCTGCGGTGTCTCTGGGGCGCCTCTCCACTAGCAGCTGCTGCATCCGCCGTAGCCGCAGCAGCAGCAGCTGCTGCTGCTGCTGCTGCAGCAGCGCTCATTCTTAGTTAATCCGGCTCTCCGCTTCCTAGTCGCAGCAGTCGCGCCGCGCAAAGGGCCGTTGCTGCTGCCCTGCTGCAGCAACAGCAGCAGCGCCAGTAACGGCAGCAGCAGCAGCAGCAAACCGCTGTTGCTGCTAAGTGACTCTACCAAATCTGCCACGCGCCCGCCAGCAGCTCTTGCTGCAGTCCATCGCTTCTTTCCTATTTTATTTCATTTTAAATTATTATTTTTTATTCTTATTTTATTTTTTATTTTTTTCCCGAAAACTCTCTTCTTTTCCGCGGCTGTCTGCGCAGGTCACCTCAGCGCCAACGCGCTGCGGCTGCACGCCAGCAGCGGCACCAAACGCTGCTGCTGCTGCTGCTGCTGTTGCTGCTGCTACTTTTGAACCGCCTGCTGCTGTTCTTGCTACTTCTTTCCTTCGTGCAGCAGCTGCGGCCGCTGGACGTGCTGCTGCTGCTGCTGCTGCTGTCCCACCTCTTGGGTTGAGCTGCAGCCGCTGCCTCGCCTGCTGCTACTGCCGCTGCCATTGCTGCTGCTGCTGCTGCTGCAATGGATACAATAGCTTATTCTGACATTATGGAACCTGCTTCCTCTGCTATATCGGCGTTGCTGCAGCAGCAACAGTTGCTGCTGCGCCTCACGGTGCTGCTGCTGCTGGACTGGCATCCCTGCAACTGCTGAGACTGCTGCTGCTGCAGAGTCTGTTGCTGGTGCTGCTGCTGCTGCACTAGCTGTCACTAAAGCTCCTGCTACTGTTGCAAAAGCTGCTGCTGCGAAAGCAACTCCCAGCCTTCCCACTGACAGCAGCAGCAGCACTGCAGGAGGCTGATGCAGCAGCTGCTGCTCCTGCAGCTGCTTCTGCTGCAGCAGCTGCTGCTGCTCCAGTGCTGCGCAGATTTTTGCTGCAGCCATTACACTTGAGATGACATATGCGTCAAGGGTGTAAATATATGAATAAGTTTTTCTCTTGCAGCTGCTGATGAAGCTGCTGCTGCTGCTTCTGCTGCTGCTGCAGCTGCAGAAGTGAGTCCGTTGCTGCGCATGCTGCATTCATGCAGCAACAAAACGTCCAGCAGCAGCAGATGCAGCGGCGCAGGCAGCAGGAGAAGTAGAAGCAAGAGCAGCAGAAGTAGAGGCAACACCAGCAGCACATGCAACAGCAACAGGAACAGCAGCACATGCAACAGCAACAGAAGCAGCCGCACTCTCAGCAACAGCACCAGCATATGCAGCAGAGACAGCAGCACATGTAGCAGCAGCAGCAGCAGCAGCAGCAAGCGTAGGAGCAGGGGCAGCAGCTGCTGGTGTTGTGTCCCTTACAATGTGTCTTTCACTGACAAACAAAGACTGGTGTGCACTAGGCCCTGTCAGCAGCAGCAGCTGCACCAGCTGCAGCAGCAGCAGCAGCAGCAGTTCTAGATATTTATTTGCATGCATGGATTGCTTGCGCTTCCAGCAACTTTTGCGCATTCTCTTATGAAATGGAAACATTTCTTTTGTCAAAAGATTAAAATGGTTCATTTGGACTTTTTTTAATTGATTTAAAAGTTCAAATTCCGGTGTTTGTACACCTCCTAGGTGCAGACACGGCAACGAGGTGTACGTACACCTCCTTGCTGGGGTGTACGTACACCTCAGTCGCATGCACTTTGCGCCTTTTTGCGCCTTTGCGCAGCTTAAATGCAAATTTTAAAATGAAATATATTTTATTTTTAAATATAATACTCAATAGAGTTGCATTTTCTGAAATTTGTGCATAATTTAGCTGCAATGTTTGTGTGCATGCAGCTGCACATATAATTGTATATAATTTTATTTCTATATATATAAATACATAGAAATGAAGTATATTTTACACGTTTTGTCTATATTATGTCCTACGTCTTTTTAATAATTTATATCTTTTAATAATTTATATCTTTTAAGTAATTTATATCTTTTAAATAATTTATATGTTTTGAATATTTCATGTATTGGGTGTATATACACTTGAGCAAACAATTGCATATGCGCGCACATGTAAACTCAGAAATGAAAATATGAATATGTTTAAAAAGTATTTATTTCTTTTTATCTTCACTTA